AAGCCTGCAAGGGATGCATCATTGGCCCCACTTTTCAGATGGGAAACCCCAGGCTCGGAAAGATGAAGTAATGTAATCAAGGTGATGCCATTGTTAAGCTAGAATTCGAAGCTGGATCTGTCTGATATCAAAGCTGAGATTTTCCTTCTGCTATACAACCTCAGTTCATAATCTAGAAGGCTATCTGTTAACCTAGAAGCTTATCTGAAGTACTTCCTGCTGAGTTTGAGCCCATTTGCTTTTTTTGTGTGTGTGTGAGGAAGATTAGCCCTGAGTTAACATCTGTTGCCAATCCTTCTCTTTTTGCTGAGGAAGATTGGCCCTGGCCTAACATCAGTGCCCATCTTCCTCTACTTTATACGTGGGACGCTGCCACAGCATGGCTTGACGAGTGGTGCGTAGGTCCACGCCTGGGATCCGAACCTGCGAACCCGGGCCGCTGAAGCTGAGCGCCCGAACTTAACCACTACTCCACAGAGCTGGCCCCCGAACCCATTCGCTTTTATTATCATCATCATCATCATTACTCAAATGTATTGAAGTGTAACATACATACAGGAAAATGCACAAATTCAAATAGCTGGATTTTACACAATGTGTACACACCCCAATGTAACCAACACCCAGTCAAAGAAACAACATAAGCCGCATCCCCGAAGCCCTCTTAGCAACCCCTTCCAGTCACCACACCCCTCAAAGGGGAGTCGCTGTGCTGATTTGTAAAAGCACAAATGAATTTGACTGTTCTGGAAGGTCTTATAAATGGAGTGTCTCTCACAGTCTCTGCTCTTTTGCGTCTAGCTTCTTTCGTGCAGCGTTACGTTTGTGAGATTTTTCCATGTTGTTGTGTGTAGCTGTGGTTCACTAGTGGGTTATCATGGAGTGGCTCTACTGTTGTTTATCCATTCTGCATTTGACAGGGATTTAGGTGCTTTCCAGTTGCTTAATCCGCTTGGTTTGGTTCTGCCCCAGTGCAACGGGAGAAAAGTGGGTCACTCTCTCACAAAGGACTCTCACGTCACTCGCTCCCTCCTGTTCCCCTGCCAGGGCATAGCAGAGAAGCAGCTCAGAAGCCTCTGGGGAGGCCCAGCTCCTTTTACATTCCTCTTATCCTGCAAACCTTCAGTAATTCTGAGCTTCCTCTCCGATACCCTCTGGCAGGTTACATCATAGATGGAGTCCAGGCAATGAGACCATTCCAGTAAATGGGACTTTGCAGGGAGGGATGGGTCAAGGGGAGGACTCTGGCTGCTGGCTGAGAGGACATGGTCTCACCCATCGGGGTATCTCTTAGGGGATGAGGGTCCTCTTTCTTCCCTTCTTCAGGGAGGTTGGGGGCAGCAGGCTTCCAGGTTCTGCCAGCTCTTCTCATATCCACCTCCGTCTATATTGGGAGGGCAAGAAAGTACGGCAGAGCCCCTGGGTACAGCGACTCATCTGTAAAATGGGGATCAGGGCAGTACTTACTCACATTTACTATGTGGGACCGCAGCCCCCAGCCCACAGGAAAGGCGAGCTCTGGCCAACCTGTGTTCTAACCCAACCTCTGCTGCGTACCTGCTGTGTGACCCTGGGCAAATTTCTAATCTCTCTGAGCTCCAGTCTCCTCATGTGCAGAATGGGAATAGCAGCATCTCCTTCGTGGTGTGGGCGTGAAAATCAAGACAGATAACAACCTCCTGTTTGACACGTGGTCGAGGCACAGCCAACGGTCACTATTCTTAATAGAGTTTGTACTCCAGCATCTAAGCCCCCTCCTGCTCCTTTCCATCCCCACCTGGAGATCTTGACAGATTGTGGCCTAACAGCACCATCATGTGCTTTTTCTAGGGAGGTAAAAACACACAGACTTGCTGACAAGTCTCAAGAATCCACCAGGCCCAATGAGTGCGCATGTGCTGCTGATGGAGGCAGAAGCAGAGGGGTTTCTAAGTCCCCGCAGACTTCAGAGAGAGGAAGAGCCTTAAAAATCTTTCTATCTTCTGACCCAGCATTTTCACTTCTGGACTCTACTCTAAAGAAACTACCCTTTCAAAATAGGCAAAGCTTCATCATCAAAGTGTTATCCATAACAATAAGCAATGGCAACCTAAAGTCATAATGAGAAAAAAAATCAATGAATAGAAACAGATCCAGAAATGGCCCAAATGATAGAATTAGTAGATAAAGACATTAAAATGGTTATTATAACTGTATTCTATATGTGTAGGAAGATAGAGGAAAGCTTGAGAATGTTAAGTAGAAACACAGATGTAAAAAAGATCCAGATCAAATTTCTAGAGAGACAAAATACACTGTCTGAGATGAAAGATACAGTGGATTAACAGCAGATCAGGCAACACAGAAGAAATGATTATTTATTCTATTTATTATAAGCAATGATGGTGTGGACGAAGATGATGATGTTGGGAGTAACCATAACTAACATTTATGGATCTCTAGCTATGGACCAAGCCCCGTTCACATATCATTTCGTTTAATCCCCACAACAAGCTTATGAAGTAGGTACTATTGCTACCCCTATGCTACACATGAGGAAATGGAAGACACAGAGCTGAGCAACTGTCTCCAAGTGAAGCAGCTGGAAAGTTGGGGAGGCCAGCCATAACCCAGGCAACCTGGGTTTGACTCCCGCCTCCCCATCCACTTCACCTCCACGTAATGCTACATAACACGTGTTGTGATCTTCATAATGGCATTCTCTCCGTGGGTGAGACTTGGTGCAGTATGCTGTATGCATGTGATCTCTAAACCCACAGCAATCGGAGGAGGGAGGGACTGTTGTCCCCATATTGTCCCCATTCTGCAAATGCGGAAACCAAGGCTCATGGAGGTGAAGAGATGTGCACAGGCTCCCACAGCTGGGAAGAGAAGGAGCTGGAGTTTGAACCAGGTCCCTCTGATCCCAAATCCAGCCTTTCGGATGTGCCCTGGGGCCTCTGGAGGCACTGGGACAACTGTTTTTGAGACCTCTTTGAGCATCAATACCATGTCTTCTCTCCCACTAGGGAAAATCCTTCTGGGGTCAACAAGTGGTCATGGCTACGTTTGCTCCCGCCCAAATGATACAGATCAGGGACAGCTGGGGCTCTAGGGGGTAGCCACGTGCCCCATCAAGAGCCCAGACTTGGAGCACTGTCTGTAGGGTAAGGTCCTATGCTGGTAAGAGCATATGCGGGGAAGGCGTGTCAAAGAACCTGCCAGAGACATTCACTTTGCCTGCTGTTTGTTTTGTGGGCAGCTTGTTTTCTCATACATGAGGTGGTCAGTTGGTGACTGAGTCAAAGAATAATGGCAAAGATGAGACTTAAAAGAGAGAGGGAAGAGAGCCGAGAGACAGAGAACAACTCCCAGCAGTGGCTCTTGCTGGCACACTCTTGTGGGTGAACTGATTAGCTGGCAGCAAAGAGGTCAACCTTTGCTCTGTGATCTTATGTCCTTGACCAGCCATCTCAGGGGCATGGGAGAAAACCAGTTACTGCTATCAATGGGCTTCTCGTTAAACCTTGAAAGGCTACCAGTGGAGCCTTTGTGGCAGACCCTCTCTTTCTAACGCCTGTCCTGCCATCAGCACCTCCACCCTAGTTAGGCTGGGTCCACACCATTTGCCTCATCAGGATTCTTAAATGTAAACTGGGGCAGATCTTCTGCACAGTAAGTTGTCAACACGCATCGACTGCCTTCAAATTGTGCACATGCTTTGACTCGGCAAGTCCACTTTAGGAAAAGATCCTACAGAAACAATTCTGGATGTAGAGGCCCCATAAATATGGAGATTTAGCCTCAAGGATTTCTTTCAGTGTACAGTCTAGAATAGTAAAAAATCAGAAACAACCCATATGTCCATCAGTAGGGGATTTGTTAAATGAACAGCATAGACATATAATGGAATACGAGGTTGCCTTTCAAAATGTTACTGCAGAAGAATATTTAACAACATAGAAATATGTTTAGTTATAACGGTAAGTGAGAAAACAGATTACAAAGTGCTACAAAGACTACCTCTAACATTTTCCTAATTTAGTCAGGGAAAAGTATGGAAAGATATATACATAACAATAGAACCAGAAGAACATACACCAAAATGTTAATGGTGGAAACAACCTAAGTGCCAGTCAAAAGATGAATGGATAAAGAAGATGTGGTGTATATATATATATATACACAATAGAATATTATTTAGTCATGAAAAGAAGGACATCCTGCCATTTGTGACAACATGGCTGGACCTTGAGGGCATTATGCTAAGTGAAATAAGTCAGAGAGAGAAAGACAAATACTGTATGATATCACTTACAGATGGAGTCTCAAAAAAGCCAAATTCATAAAAACAAAGAGTAAAATGGTGGTTACCAGGGGATGAGGGGGTAGTGAGAATAGGACAGATGTTGTTTAAAGGTACAAACTTGCAACAAGTAGTAATAAGTCCCAGAGAGCTAATGCACAGTACAGTGAATATAGACAACAATATTGTATTATAAACATCAAACTTTCTAAGAGACTGGATCTTAATTATTCCAACCACTAAAATGAAATTATAATTATGTGATATTATAGAGCTGCTAATTATTCCTACAATGGCAATCATATTACAATATATAAATGTATCAAATCAATGTACTGTACACCTTAAATTTACACATATTATGTGTCAAATATATTTCAATTGTAAAAAGTTAATGGTGCTTAATGGATTCACAGCTGACTTAAAATTTTTTCTTATTGTTTATGTTTTCCAAATCTTCTATACTGAATGTGTGTTTCTTTTGCAATCAAAAAGTTAAAAAAAAAAAACACTAAAAAACAGATATTAAAAATTAAAAAAATAAAATTCCCCATTGCCAGAGAAGAGGAAAGAGAAAGAGCGCGGATGGCCTCCAATGGAGCTGGAGCTGGAGCTGGGAGGGGTGGTGGTGGGCTGAAGGGTGCATCTGATATAAGGGGCTGCCTGTACTGAAGGGAACTTCCAGTAGCTGCTTCCACTGCTCCGTGCTGGGATTATGGAAGTCCCCCTGCTGTGTGCTCTGGTCGTGTTTGCTGGTGAGTGGGGACAGGACCCACAGCTGGGAAGGGAAGGAGGGATGTGAGTAGGTCCTTTATCTCTTTCCTAGACTGAGCTGCTGCTCTGATGCCCACTGCCCCGGTCTCCCAGTCCTCAACTCTCCCACCTCCTGCAGGGAGGCATCAGCGGCCACCACTCCCATAGAACGGTGGCTTCAGCCAGAGAGCTCTGGGCAGCCAACCTAGTGGCCTGCCTCTGGACTGCTGTGAAGAGGAGAACTAGAGGTCCAGAACCTGGGGGCCCGCTGAGCTGACCCCTATGGAATTACAGACACAAATTACAGAAATGGATCTCCCCACCTCCTCCCTGCTCCCCTCTGACCCTTTGACCGAATAATAATGATCTTTTACACATGCAGGGCACTCTCTTTTTTTAGAACCCTTTCGTGTTCATTCTCGCCCTTGAACCTGGGCGGAGGGTTCTGTTGACCGTTGGTGGGAGATGGAGCAGTTTCTACTTGGTCTTTATGTATTTATTTTTTTTGTGAGGAAGATCAGCCCTGAGCTAACATCCATGCCAATCCTCCTCTTTCTTGCTGAGGAAGACTGGCCCTGGGCTAACATCTGTGCCCATCTTCCTCCACTGTACGTAGGACGCCGCCACAGCATGGCCTGACAAGTGGTGCATCAGTGCGCGCCCGGGATCCGAACCCAGGACAGACACCAGCAGCAGAGCGCACGCACTTAACCGCTACGCCACAGGGCCGGCCCCTCCACTGGGTCTCTAGCAGATCAAATATAAAACTGTGGTTGCTAGCAAGGCGGCAGGTTTGTTTCTTGATCCATCCCAAAATATGTGATTTTAGAAAGGGTTTGCATTTCTGAATGTGGTTTCATGTTATCTCAGGACTCCCAAATTCTCGAGAGGAACTCATCTTCAGGGTTATAGTGAAAACCATTGGTAAAATTGCAATCCAGCTACAGAAATTCATCTCTCAGACATAAAGAGGCAACACAGTGTAGAGATACAATGCACAGATGAATCTGCATTCAAACGCTGGCCCCGTCATCTGTGGGCTGTATGCCCTCGGCCAAGTCACCCCGTTTCTCTCTATCTTCATCTGTAAAATGGGCACAGTAGCACCTTTTCCATAGGGTTGTTAGAAGGACTCTAATGAGAAAATATATACAAAGAGTTTAGCAAGTATAAGTAATAGTAGGCAAGCAATAGCTTAACACATAGCACATGCATGATATGGTAGCACTGTTGCCTCCCATCACTGTGGCTAACCCTTGGGAGAAGAGGCTCCCTCCCCCTTGGTGGCAGCCAAGGTTGGGAAAATACCAAGACAGGAACTGCTGACAAGCAAAGCCAGTTCTCCAAAGCCCCCATATCCACGGATTGAGCGCCTCAATTTCTTAGGGCTGGGTTTGCCTCACAGTAAAATTATGGGAAATAAGACCACCCAAGAGTATTCTGAATCAAAGCAAGGGAGAGGTGCATCATTCAGTGTGAATTTATTTGTGTGGGTATTTCTGAGCTGAAATGAAAAGGGCTAGACTGGGGGCAGAAAGGGGAACAGAGGAACACCAAAAAGGGAAGATTTTGAATTCAGGTCCCTGGCTGGCCCTCAAGGTGTACTGTAAGTCTCTTTCCAATTGGTTGCCTTTGGGTTCCTTATCACTGAATTTGGGAATCCAGAGGGCCTGGGATCATTCATCAGCACAGTGGAAGCTTAGCAAGGTTTCACTTTAACATCCAGTGTAACTAGAGCCAAACAGGAATGGCAATGTGGATTCCCTAACATTGAACGGACACACTGGGGACACAGGCCTGCAAGTACCAGACACCACCAGTCCCTTTTAGCTGCAGCCCCAGGCCATCTGCTTGTGATCTCACCCTTGGTCCACTGCACGAGTCCCTCCCAAGCCCCCTCTTCCTACCCCAATGACCCCGAATGTGGGGGTCACCCCCAGTTTATTCTTTACTTCATTTGCGCGAGGAGCTTTCATTGTAATATCATTTCCCCAAGGTTGTACGGGAAGCGTCTTCCAAAACTAGGGGCCCACCCAGCCCAGTCTCCATGAAACTCTGGGCTCCATCTGTGTTCTTGAATCATCTCTTGAGGTTCCACACATGTACATTTCAGTCCCTTTCTAATCTTGTCTGTTCTCCCAAACTCTCCCCTGAATTCATTGACTTAATATATTTTATTTCTCCAAACTCAACATAATGCATTTCTCTCTCCCAATAAAATAAATTCCCCTGGTGATCAATTCTAACTACAGCTATTATGACTGAAATGAAAAAAATCCATGAAAATAATTGATTTCTAAATTACACTGCCTCCCAGGAGAGCCGTGCATGCTCATTAACACACAGACTTTTCTGCTGGAGGCAGTGGGGAGGGAGGAGAGTGTAGGAAGAAGGGTGAGTTTGATTATTCTTCCTATTAGAAACTGGGAACTCAATGCCCAGAGACAGAGAATGGAATTAAACTGCCTTGGTTTTCAACCCTGGTTCCTCCATTTACCAGCTACTATGACCTGAAGCAAGTTACTGAGCCCCAGTCTGCTCATTTCCAAAATGGGGATTAAAAATATTATTTATTGTACCAATGTTGGTTTCTTAGTTTTCATAAATATACCACAATTATGTAAGATGATAATAGCATTAGAGGAAACTGGGTGAAGGGATATATGAGAATTCTCTACACGGTCTTTGCAACTTTTCTGTACATCTAGAATATACCAAAATAAAAAGGTTATTTATTGAAAAAAATGGTATTTATCTCATGAGATGGATGCAGTCAATAAATTACTACATGAAAAGACCCATAGCAAGCACTCACTGACTGTCATTATTTTTTTTAATAGCTATCGTGGTGATTGTTACTTTATTAATCAACGTCATTGCTCTGGTCCAGGCAGAGCAGAGGTGCCAGGCCTGTGGCCTGAGATTCACGTCCTCTCCTTGTTGCTGGGCTCCTTGGCAGGTGTGATTCCAGCCCAGGGCGGGATCCTGAACCTGAACAAGATGGTCCACCAAGTGACCGGGAAGATACCCTTCTTCTCCTATTGGCCCTACGGCTGTTACTGTGGACTCGGTGGCAGAGGCCAACCCAAAGATGCCACGGACTGGTAACCCCTTCGCAGGCAGGCCCACGGTGACAACCCTGTCCTGCCCCCTCCCCAGGACTCTCCCCTTTCCTCTCCATTCATTTATTCATTCTGGGAATTCATTTTGTACTGTGTGCTAGCAACTCTGCTGAGCTCCGACACAATCCCAGCCCTCTTGGAGCTTGCCTTCTAGAGGGTTCCCCACAGTCCCTGAAGGCCCCCCTTGCACTTCCAACCCCTAATCTAGTTAGAATACCCCCACACACATACTCCCTGCTGCCATTGCATGTTGTTTTTAAAAAGTCCCACCTCTTTGTACCATTATCATGTGATCTTCACAACAACCCTGGGAATCACCCAGGGGAGCGATGAGAGCCAGCCAGGCCCAGGGTCACTTCCCTGATCCACCACTCACAGGCTGGGTGACCTTGGGCAAGAGGCTTGACCTCCATGAGTCTCAGTTTCCCCATCTATGAAATGGGAATAATACCAGCACCATTAAGAGAGAGTCCAGAGGTGAAGCAGTCACACAGGGGGCACTCAATAAGTGTTAGCTAGCATGACCATACAGAGGACTAGAACTCTTCCAAGGTGGGCACTTGGTTCCTCCTCTGCAGCAGGGGCAGCCAGAGACCCGAGTCAGCCAAGGACCCACGCAGCTGTGCTCTCTGCCTGTCCCCCCTCCTGTCCTCTCCCTCCAGGTGCTGCCATGCCCACGACTGCTGCTATGGCCACCTGAGGCACCACGGATGCCGTAAGCACACGGATCATTACAACTACGTCTTTTCCCACGGGGACATCCAGTGTTGTGAGTGCCCGGGCCTTGGGGTTGGAGTTGGAGGCTGAGGAAGGGAGTTCTGGCACACACTGCCTTCATATGCTGTGTGATGATGCACAAGACGCTTGACCTCTCTGTTTTTCTCATGTGTCAAGTGGCCGTAGCTGGGCTTTGGAGGAGGGGCAGGAATGTGGGTGGGAGTATGGAGAGGTCCAAGGGGGGCTTTGACTCCCTCAGGATCTGGAAGGCCAGTGGACCTCAGCTTGGATCCCAGACGCACCACCGACCAGCTGTGTGACCTTGAACATGTTGCTAAACCTCTCTGAACCTCAGTATCCTCATCTGTAAACTCAAGATGATGAGAGTATTCTACTCCATAAAGTTAACTCAAGAGCTAAAATGAGAGCAGACAGATGCCCACTGCAGAGAGCATGCTCGATAAATTACACGGGCTGCCTGTTTTCTTGCTCCTACCATCGTCATTACTGACACTCATGGCAGCCCAGCCAGGAGGCAGCACCACTCTGATGATCTCCATTTTGTAGACAAAGAAACTGACCAGAGTGAAGAAGTGTCAGCCTGCGGTCACCCAGCTGCAAGGGACAGAGCCTGGGCTGGAACCCAGGTCACCCGGGCCCTGGGTCCATGCATGGAGAAAGGGGGCAGGTCCCAGGGCTCGTCACAGCAGTCTTTGTTAATTGGGGCTTAATAATAATAATCATAACAGTAAGAGCCAACATTTACTGAGCACCTACTGTGTGCTGAGCACTTTGCCTCCTTCCTTCCGTTCTCACGACAGCCCCCTGCGACAGCACCTCCCGTTGTCCCTGTTGCACAGATGATGAAACTGAAGCACCATGGTCCCTGCTGCCCCAGAGCCTTTGCACATGCTGTTCCCTCTGCCTGGGACACTGCCCCTCCTCCACCCTGGCTTTCCGTGGGGGCGTAGACCCTTCTGCTCTCAGCTCCAATGGCTCTTGACGCTGAGTCAGGTCTCCCCTGTTTCACCATCTTGTAGCCCTGGCATCTTTCTTACTGTTGTGTAGCACAGATATTCATTTTTGTGGTTCTCAAATATCTGCCGCTCCCATGGGAGTGTGACCCTCACATGTCCGTGTCCGTTTTGTTCAGTCCTGTGCCCCCAGGGCCTGCCGCAGGATAGGTGCTCGATTGTTTATTGAACGGATAAGTAAATAAACAAGGGAGCAATGATAGACAGGGAGGTCGTGGTACGTGCCCAAGGTCACGCAGCTAGAGGCACAGGAGCTGGGATGGGCACCCTACAGCTGAGCAAGCACTGCGTTGTCTTCAGAGGCTCCCTCCAGGGAGCCTAGACCCAGCCCTGGCTCTGTCTCAGGAGGGAACAGACGCTGAGCTCCCCCCTCCACCCCACAGCTGACAAGGGGAGCTGGTGCGAGCAGCAGCTGTGCGCCTGTGACAAGGAGGTGGCCTTCTGCCTGCAGCGCAACCTGGACAGCTACCAGAAGCACCTGCGCTACTACTGGTGGCCCCACTGCAAGGGCAAGAAGCCCATGTGCTAGGAGGGGCCCGCCCCGACTGTCCCACGCCCTCTGCCCCTTGGCGTCTTGAGCTCTGGAAGTTCTGCAGGATTGCTGAGACCCCAGCCCCAGTGTCTAACCCCCTGAACCAGCCTGGCTCCTTTAAAACACTCCCTGGAAGAGGGAGGGTCTTGCCCTCCCTCCCACCCCCAACCCCGCCTCTTGGACCTTCTAAAATTTCCCAATGGAGGCAGTAGCTGTCTCCTCTGAAGGTGGACTGGGATCTTAGGAAAAGCCAAGGCTGGGGAGCCCCCAGGTATGGTGTTTGAGCCAAAGCAGCAGGCGTTGGGGGCGGGGACTGGGGGCCGAGGTGTGGCAGGTTCTGCCTGACACTGCCACTCACCAGGCCTCCCGGCCCCAGGTGCACCCCTTCCAGGACCCCATCCACCTGCAGCCACAGTGGCCCCTCTAAAGGGTGACACTGATCTTTCTGTCCATGTGACTTTACTTCTTAAGACCCCAAGGACCTTCACCGCCCCAGGCCAGGGCCTCTCACAGGAGTTCGGGACCTGCCCTGTCTGGCGCTGTGTCCCCCTCCCCAACCAGTCTTGAAGGTCCTTGTGGGCAGGGCCCGGGCCTGTCTTGGACTCATTTGCATCTCTGGTGCCCAGAGCAGTGCCCGGAACCGAGAGGGAGCTCCGTAAATCCGTCTCGAGGGAAGGGTGGGATGAAGCCACCTGCTCCTCTGGCCCCAAGCACCACGTCCCGGGCACAGGCCACATGTCCTCCAGGCTTTCCTTTCCTGCTTCCAGACACTTGCTCAGGTGGGGACTTCTGCAGAAACACTTTCCCAGCCTCCTCAGGGTCCAAAGGCTACTTCCCACAGAAGTGTCCCCTGGCTGATTCCTCCCAGCCTCCAAGGGCTCACTGCCTCCTCCGAGCTCCCATAGCAGCTTATGGGCCTGCAATTACCAAGATTTATCTCGAGTGGTATATAATTGTCTAGACTTCTCTGATCTCCGACTAGCCTAGAGCTCCAGGAGGATGGACCATGTCTGTTTCATCTTTATTTCCTCTGCTCCCCTACATAATAGATGCGCAGTTAATGCCTGTCGATCAAATGAGCCCATAATGGATAGATGGAGGTTCTGGCAGATGTTGTCGGTTCCCGCACCCAGATGCCCTCCTGGCCCAGCCCCCCAATCCCCAGCTAAGCCAGGTGTTGGCTGCTAAGTGCTCATATATGCCTCCTTCTCTTAAGGATTGCCCTTGTCTGCTCATCTCCCCCTCCCCACTCCACCCGCTTCTAACCAATGACTAGGGAGTATAATACCATGAAGGGTCTAATTGCCCGGACCTCTGCCTCCGTGCAGGGCCATCAAGGTGGCACATTGCATGCCCCAGAGCTCCTTGTGGGATCAGGCTGAGGGTAGACATCTGGAACCACTTCTTTGCTTAGCTTCGTCCCCTGGCCTATGCTGTTTCCCTTGTTCCCTTACAGGTTTCTCCTGAGAGCACTCCCTCAATAAATCGGTCACTTGCTCAAGGATCCTTGTCTCAGGCTTGGCTTCTAGGGAAACTGACTTGGGTAGATGGATGGATGGATGGATGGGTGGGTGGACAGACGGACAGATGGACAGACGGATGGATGGATAACTTTTTCATATAAGGATCCACAATCTGTCATTCATATATGATTAGCTGTGTCTCCAGCAACAGGGCTGGAACACCAGGAGCCACCCACAATCTCCAGCCAGCCTGTGACACACATCTGTGACACAGTTGATTGAGCAGTTTTCCTTCAACATGAAGCTCAATGGCTCATGTAAGTCGATGTAATAGGAATTAAGAACTATGGGCACTGGGTTCAAATTCCAGTTGTACCGCTGACCAGCCACGTGACCTTAAACGAGGAATCTCGGTGTCCTCATGTGTGAAGTCTAGAAGAAAATATGAAGAAAACAAGACGAGGTCAGTGTGAGTATTAAACAAGACTAATGTATTTTAAGCTCTTGGCACAGTGCCCGGCACATGGTAATCCCTTTTTAGATGTCAACCGTGTTATTTTTGTTGCTGTTGTTATGTAATGACCAAATCTGATGTCACTCCCAAGATAAATGAAGAGGAGAAAATAGTTAATCAGTGTTCTCCTCTTTCTACCCAATTCCTCTCTCCCTTCTACACCACTGTGCAAGCTGTGTCAGTTAGATCCTGAGGCACGATATCCATTTGTTCAAGACACACAGTCAAGAGCTGGTGACCTCTACTTGTCCATCAGAGCTCCCGTGTGCCGGGCTCAGTGGCTTTGTGACCATTTCAGGGTTGGCAGGTATGGGCATTATTATCCCCATTTTACAAATGAGCAGCCTGAGGCTCAGAATGGGGTTAGGAACCTCCTGAAGTCCCACAGCCAGCAAAAGGCAGAGCCGAGACCTGTCCAGACTCTTCCCATGCTGTTCCCTGTCACCTTGGTCTGTTTCTACTGGTCAGGAAGCTTCCAGCCGAAAACTGTGACTCAGTGGGCTTCAATGATGAGGACATTAATGACTTCAGATGATAAGAAGTCCAGGTGGCGTTTTAGTGGCTTGATGATGTCATCAGTGTCTGGTTTCTTTCCTGCTCTTGGCAGGGCCACCCTCACGGTGTTGTCTTTGCCCTGTGGATGGCTCCCATCCCTGCTCCAAGATGGCAGCCACGGTCCAGACCTCAAGCCAGGACATGATACTATCCAGCAGAGAAACATCTATCTGTCTCTTCCGTGTCTCTCTTTTTTTTTTTTGTGAGGAAGATCAGCCCTTAGCTAACATCTGCCAATCCTCCTCTTTTTGCTGACGAAGACTGGCCCTGAGCTAATGTCCGTGTCCATCTTCCTCTACTTTATATGGGACGCCGCCACAGCATGGCTTGACAAGCGATGCCTTGGTGCGCGCCCGGGATCCAAGCCTGCGAACCCCGGGCCGCCATAGCAGAGCGCACGCACTTAACTGCTTGCACCCTCAGGGCCGGCCCCGTGTCTCTTTTTAATAAGCCCAGTACCACCACCCAGCAGATCTCCCCTTCAGGACAGGCCACCCTAAACCATGGTGGCCCAAGACAACGGGAATACCCCGCTCAGTCTAGATTACTCAGGATTTATCTACCCCTGAGAGGGAACAGGGTCAATGTCCCTGAGGCGGCGGGTAGCTGCTAGAATCGAGGCTGGTGGGGTTGTTGATAGGATCGGTGTGGGGTGGGCAAGCCCAGGGCTGGGGCAGGAGCAGGGCTGAGCCTGAAGCGCTCCCTCTCTGAGCTAAGCACCTAGAGCAGGGCCTGGTGATCACATAGTAGGAGATCGATAGATATTTGCTGAATGAATGAATGAATTCCAGTTGGTAAAGACGTGAGACTTTGGACCAAGAGGTAGGATGGCCAGATGGGGTCTCAGGGCAGCCAAGACTGAATCCCCAAAGCAAGGCAAGACCCTCCCAGCCTGTGAGTTCTCATCCTGGGCCAATTTCCAATTACTGAAATTGGATGAGAGGCACAAGGAAGGAGGGACAGACAGCTTCCGCTCTCTGCCTCCCTCTCTCAAATAGCTCTGGGTGGAGGAGGCAGCAGCAGGACGCAGTCCCTGAGCTTCCTGTTCCCTCTGGGGTCGGGTTATGCAAAGGGACACCCGTGGGGGAGAAGCAGGGCGAACATTGAACTCCTGACACTGAAAACCTGAGACGCCCACGCACCCACTCCTCTCACCTCCCTCGGGACATTGGTATGGTCACCTGCATTTTCCAGCTGCAGAAACTGAAACTCGAGGATGAGTCACTTGCTGATCATTGGCAGGGCTGGGATTCGAACCCAGGTTTCTCTGGCTCCAGGGCCACGTCTCACCCTACCTCCCACACTCTTTACTGGGACAGTTGGTGATTCAGCCCTGAGTGTCCCTTAAGAGGGGAATAGCCATGCCCAGGGACGAGGAGGTGAGGGTGGGTGCAGCCAGGCAGGATCATGGGGGAAAGGGGTAGCAAGAAATAATCATACTGACAATAACAATATCCCTCAAGTAGAGCCCTCACATTTGGAGCACTTCATCCTGCATAGAGCCGTTCCCACCATTGTCAATCCTATCCTTAGGTCACCTGGATCCAGGGTTCTATCTCCCGGATGTGGGGGCCCAATTCAGGGGCACGATGGGTGGACGACTTCTCCACGTCTCTGCCTGTTTTTCCAGCTGGATCCTGCTCGCACCTGCCCACGCTCCTTTCATCTTCCTCATTGCTGTGATATGCGGGTGGAGCTGGGGCTCCTACCCCCCGCCCACCCCCTGTCTCAGGGCCCCCTTGGGGGGGAATGGGGGTGTTCACACTTGGGGTCCCTGGCATCCTTGCCCACTTCTGAGGTCAGCCTGAGAGCCGACCTGACCCCAGGGCAGTCTGGACAACCCAGAGTCAGGTCCTTGCTGGCTCTCTCTAGCTTGTGGTCCTCGGTTAGTTTTCACTTAAAGAACAGACTTTCAAGACAGTTTGTGAAAACTTGAAGCAGGTCAGAGAAGCCAGGCGGAGGGATTCCTCCCTGTTCTCTCTGTTTTAGGTTCCTGGCTGAGCTTTGCCCATCTCGGGGCCTCTCCTGGAAGGCACTTCCCTGGGCCCTCTGGAAGACTGGCCCCTTCTGTCAGGGGCTCAGCTGACAGTCCCCCCTCAGGAAAACTCCCCTGCCCTCCCAACGTGAAGCAACCACCGCCCCACCCTCTCTTACTCTCTGTCACCCTGCCTTATTTTATTTTATTATTTTTTTTTTAGGTTAAAAATATGAGTTGACATTTTTTATTGAAGTATAGTTGACATACAGCATTATATTAGTTTCAGGTGTACAACATAGTGATTCAACATTTGCATACCTTATGAAATGATCACCACGACATCTAGTAACCATCTGTCACCATACAAAGTTATTACAACATTGTTGACTATATTCCCTATGCTGTATATTACATCCTCATGACTCATTTATTTTATGACTGGAAGTTTGTATCTCTTAATCTTCCTCGTCTATTTCACCTATCCCCCCACCTTCTACCCTCTGGCGACCACCAGTTTGTTCTCTGTATCAATAAGTCTGTTTCTGTTTTGTTTTGTTTTGTTTTGCTTGTTCATTTGTCTTGTTTTTTAGACTCCACATATAAGTGAAATAATATGGTATTTGTCCTTCTCTGCCTGACTTATTTCACTTGGCGTAACACCCTCTAGGTCCATCTGTGTTGTTGCAAATGGCAAGATTTCATTCTTTTTTATGGCTGAGTA